TTAATGATTTAATAAACATGTTCTTGCAATCTTATCTCACAATCTTTCTCGGAAAATTGAATTAAGTGTGGGAAATACCAAAATAATTTAAAGTTCCTTGATAGCTATAGCTCCTTGACGTTGGGTTAAAGCTACGATTTTTGGGATTTTATACTAGATTTATTTGTAGTGTATAGATTTGTTCAAACTGGATTATCCGATATTTTGACCACCCTTTAAAAGCATTTGGCAAAAGTAGTGAAGTTGGATAGTCAATGATAGCATAGTATGACTATGCGCCATCATTGATGATATTAGGAGGCGTGGGCTCGGCCCGTTACCTACTGGAGTATGATCAGAACCAGGATAGAAATAACATACCTAGAACATAACGTGTTCAAACTTAAATAATTTTGGATTTAACTGGAATTTGTTAAATATATAAATGGATCACGTGATATTAATTGCTAAAGAAAAACATTTTGGACGGAGCATGTAGCTGTTTACTTATGTAAAATGAAATGCATACGACATTTTATTGGATGTTTTATTGGTATACGGTTATAAAGCTAATTCTCTAAAGGAATTATCCAGATTTTTAAGTCTAATTTGTACTGATGAATGCAAATTAGACTTACAAAATCTGGATGAATATTATTGTTTAGCTTGCCCGACAGACGTCGTCCTGTCCTAATGTGGTTTTATGTCAAATGCTCGTTCATTTTCAAGATGAGCTCGTTCGGATCGCTCAATCACGTCCTGGTTGAAGTTCGTTAGCTAAGTTCACTCACATTTTGGTTGGAGCCATCGATATATAACTACGATGTAATAAATAATATCGATATATATACTGTAGTTATATAGGCTATCGATGGTTGGAGCTCGCTCACTCGCCTTCAGGTTTAGCTCGTTCGCTACGCTCGCTCGCCTCCAGGTTGAAGTGAGTGAGCTAATGTAAAGGCCATTTTTTTATTTTTTAAATCAAATTACTAAATAATGGTGGATGGATTCTAAATTTTCTTACATAAAAACCTTCCCCTGGCACTAAGGAACACAACAAAAAAAAGTGTCATCCAATTCGGTGCACTCGTTCTCGAGTCATGGAATACCATCAAAAAAGGTATTCATTTTTATTCATATAGATTTACGATGGAAAATCCATTTTCATCATGATTTCTTATCCACTGCACTATGTAAAACACATCTTGACTTTATGTGAAGTCTTATGTTTTGAATTCAACCTGTCTGTTTCTTACACAAAATATATAATAATAGCATAACAGTTATATATCATCCACCTCCTACAACGCAGCCTTATCTTTAATCTATAATCTTCTAACCATATTACTTTTTATGAAATCTTAAATGCCATAATAATCTCAGTAATAAATCATCTCTCCCGTCCTAAAAAACCCTTTTATTAGTTAGATTATGTAACGCAACAGCTATACAGACGTGATAGGAACATGTAGTCTAAACAAGACCCATTAAAGTGCAATTTGCATTTGAATGATGTTTTTGCGAATCCTCTGACCTGATTCTTCTTCTACTTCTCACTGTGGTCAAGTTCAGCTGTTTTCCTTGTAGTTAAATAGGCTCTTTATTATGTCCCTAATAGATGCCCGATTTCAGGAAATAATATCCCCACCGCAGCAAATATTCAGACTACCCTAAGTGATTGTTTTCCATTTACCTGGTTAGAGTTTCACTTGAATCTGTTTGAATAACATTTGATTAAATGAATACCTAGAATCTCTGCTACAGTGATGGTAATGAATTGCTGTTTTATGTAAAATATTAAATCGCTTAGTATAAATATAAAATAAATACATTTGCTCGAAATATATCCAAAAGCTACCCAAATACAAAGTTTGCTTATTCTTCATAAGAATAACATAGAAATTTTTAATTCCCTCTTTAATCAATAACTGTACAAAAAACTTCTATTAGAACAATATTCTAAATTATTTGTTTTTAAGCTCTTCACAATGGAAGCGATAAATTAGTATCTTCCATGTTCTGAGGATAAAAAATTGGGAAACCCAATAATTAGCTCATAAAATCCCTCATAAACCCCCCTTCCCATGGTCTGATGATGCTGGTTCGCAAACGCATTTCATTTTATCCCGTCATACAGCTACAAACCAAATTTCATAAAAATCTGACAAAAGTTACTCAAGTAATCGCGTTCACGGACATTATTATGTGGCCTCTTGGGACATCGAAATGAAAAATTAAATCGGTCCCAGGCCTAGGTCTTATCTTATTCAAATCGGACGAGTTTCAAGCAAACGCAAGGTGAACAACCGACGTAACAATTATTTTTATAAGGTTTTTCTATGATTAAAAATCAATAGCTCCAGTATTGTTTATGTTTTTTTTATGTTTGAGACTCAAAATAATCAGTAAATTATAGGCTTTAATTTGAGCTATTGATCGTTTGAATCAGTTAAGTTCAAGATACTGCATTACTCAATTAATAACCACAAATTCGATTATTTCTCGGATATTTATTTCAACGCTGCGGAGCAGCATAGGTCCTCTAGTGTCAATTTAAAAGTTTAGCTACAATCTTCTCTTTCCCAAAGCATAATGCTTTAGATTACGCGTAATAACACATGGGATTACATAAACGTAATTTTGAAGCAGAAGCCAATGTAAATAGCGTATTAATCGCGCCACAACACGTCGGAAATCAAAACCAATCAACTATCAATGATGACTTGATCGCGAGATTTTATTTACACGTCTCTGCTACTATGCTGCTATCCTTTCCATGGCTGAAGAGGACTAAGTCCTAAAACAGCCTCAGTCCAGTAGGGTTTCAGCTCTCTGGATTTGAACATCACAAAGAACAGAACAGAACAGCAAGTCTTATCTTATCAGACTCTAGCTGATTGGTTAAAGATCTTCAATGATGACTTGATCGCGTGGTTTTAGCAAAGTCTTATCTTATCAGACTCTACAGCTGATCGGTTAAAGATCAATGATGACTTGATCGCGAGGTTTTAGCAAAGTCTTATCTTATCAGACTCGCCAGCTGATCAGTAAAGATCTTTCCCTAAGCCAGATACTTAGTCATTTCCTTATTACAGTGTTTTGATGTTTGTCTTTGAAGGTGTCAGCAAAACAAATTCTTAGAACAGAGAGTGCGGAAGTTTCACTGTATATTAACGGCCATTAAGTACATTCACTTAAGGGGATTTCTATTGACGAGTACAACACTATTTAATCTCACTCAACAATAAATGACGGAAATTTTGTTGATTTTGAGGAAGGGAATTTGTTGGCACTTTTATCACACAATCTTGTTTGCAAGCTTTTGTAAAATTAGATTCACCAGTTGTAAAATGGCATTGCTATGTAAAAACACAATTCAACAGTTCAGTGAGTTACGCCATAGATGAGCCATAAATCAGCTGTTCCGCTCGATTTATGTAGGGTAGATGATGTTTATTATTATTATCAACACGAAAGTGGAAAGAATAGTAAGAAAAATCTTCCTCTAGATATATCCCATAGAAACACCTCTTTTAAACTGTCTCCAGCTAACTCTTAAGGATTGATTGGGATTAAGGATCCATAAGAAGATTAAGGATCCATAAGAGGATTAAGGATCCATAAGAGTGAATGTTCAATAAGCAGTTTAAAATTTATAAAAAAACATTGTTTTGTCAACAGTTTCTAAATTTGTTGTGATTTTTAAAATAAATCCACTTAAACTAAACAAAATAACATTGACAACAAATAATGTACTTTGAATACGAAGAAAATCATAGGAGCTTTGTTTTTATGATCTATAAGGGTAATTGGTATATCCTATTATATAAGACCATAGCGAACCTAACATCCTTGTACCAAGAGCGGGTGGGCGTACTCATACACTATAAAGTTAACCGTTGTACAAGAATAACCTCAAGTCCTTTTTTACACGTTTTCCTCTTTTTTCCGAATTCACACTTATATTGTTTTACACGTTACAGAAAATTAAATCTTCAAAAAATTATTAACAGTGCAAATGTGTTTAGCTATAATATTAATCTCAAAATATTTATCACAGTGTTTTAGTTTTTGAAAGTTTTTTTATTCTGTATTGTATAGCTTTATTTTGTATAATATGACACAGACTAGTCTGATCCATGCCACGAAGAGTGATTTTTTGTAAGTTGTGATTGTGATTCTAAACAGAATCAGTAACTATCATATATATCATCCTAATAAATGCGTGGTAAAATGTGGGTTTGACTCAATCTGCGCTTCGTTGGAATAACAAGCAATCGAAATTCGCGGTTATCCTTAGATGTAAAATACATACTACTCACAAAATTATTCTGTAAATCTTATAGGGCCATGAAATAACATTGTTGCTTTCATTTCAAATTAAATTATTTTCCAATTTGCACCTTATCTTTAAGTAATTCAATCGACTTTGAACCCGAAAGATCAACAAAACGGCCATGTTCAATTCAAGGTAATTATATGTTGAACTATTCATATTACACAATATAAATATACAAAACAGAAACAGGAAATTTAAAGGCATAAATTTAATCTTTACATTGATTTTCTATAGATACAAAAGCCTATGGAATTTTGCGTATGGTCCGTACGTAGTATAGTAAATAACTAGCAAAATCGACAAAAGCGTTCAATTTAGGTCCTACGAATTCAAATGATATCCTTAATATAGTGTTTGCCTACCTATATAGGGAAATTAAACTCCTAATCAATAAATGAAGCACATTTACGATAAGAAGAGTTCTGATCTTTTTTATAGATATATTGTACACTAGCTCTTTGTATTAAACATAATTAAAATAAAATTTTAGTCCTAAATGATGTAAAATAAATTACTATCAAAATTTTCAAAATATAACCATAAAGTTTAAAACTATATTTTACTGTTAAATTTAACAACAGATTATCTAAACTCCAACTCTTAACACTTTTGAAATTATTAACAACTTTATTCTGTTATTTTATCCAACTAAAATCTTAACATTCGAATCATTAATACGTACCTTTGGGATATTTCGAGCGAATACTGTAAGACACTACGGATGCCGCGCGAACTTCCAGCAATGAACAGCTAAGTCAAAGGAAAGCGTGGAGCGAAGAACAAGAAGTGGGGATATCACAACCGGACGTCACAACACAAATCAGCTGATTTACTTAGATCAAACCTCACAAGGATGGACATAACCTTCAAAATATGCACCGCACATAACCTACAAACCTCGAGTTTGTCACAGATGTGGCGAGTTGTGGAGTAAAAGTGAAAGCACTTTCACTGGAGGAGGTTAATGTTACGTGGTCTTTACTTCCTGTCTTCCCGATCTCCAGGTCACAAAGGTTGTTGAACCAGTCGGCAAGAGTTTTCTCCAATATGATGTAACATGAGCAGCTTCAACTGGTGGGTAAGGTCTCAAGGATGTTACTTTGTTTACCTTCAACTTCCATTCTTGTTTGGTGCCAGTCACGCCTTGAGTCCTTGCGCGTCTAGAATTGTATTAAATTTTTGTCGTCATAACTCCTTTGTAGTAATCTTAAGTATTTGTAACGATGAGATCTACGCAAACCTATAGTTTGATCAAAGAGGAATGATCATTATGTACTTTCAAAATCCCAATAATAGTCCACAATATCTCTATATATCTGGTAAAGAAATTATTCAAATACTTTTAATTCTTCAACAATATATTTTTTTTAAATATTTCTAGCTTTGTCAATAGCATTTATTTCTAGTGTTACCAATTAAGTAAATCTAATATCACACTATCATTTAAGTTATAACCAAAAATTTACATCTCCAAGAAAATCGAAACACAACCCGCTTTGGTAAATCCTAAAGCCACGACTCGGAATGTTTACTACCAATGTTTAGAATATTCAAAAGAAAGTTGTTACTTTTTGACGATACGTCATATCATAGACAAAAAGAACGTCAGCTGAGCTGGAGCAGCTTGGAGCATCGTGTAGTTACGGCGTACGCGCTACGTAACTACACGGCGCTCCCAGCGGTGTGCGCCAGAACCTATGGTAACCGCAGCATGGATGCCAGTCCATATTTAATTATTTATGTATATGGTCATATTCAACGTTGTCATCGGGTTTTCAGTGCGTTATCCACAAGAAAACCACAACAGATCAAAGAATATTGTTACTGTAATATTTTCTGTTATCTTTTGAAATCAGCATTTGGTCGAAAACCATGTTAGACCCAAAGTGCACGACAAAATGATTAGACCTAGTGTAAATATTTTAAACAACAGCTGATATCAACAACACGCTATTTTTCACCACACTATACCCTATTACCACTATTCGCCACAATAAGAATGTACACTAACAGCATAGATAAAACAAGGAGTATCTTTATCTATGCTAACAGTCAACACAACTTTAAGGTTATGTGAAGAAATCACTTGAGGAATCAGCAAAAATAATAATAAATAGTTGCTAGGCAACGGTGATACTGATTGTGTATTTAGCATTCATGTTTGAAGAAAGTAAGCGGACAGCTGATTTTACGGCCCTAGGGATGTACCCTGCTCGGTCCCCAAATGACGATGACAGCTGGCTTGGTCGGCAAAACGTAACTTATTTCAGCCACCAATTAACGTATGTAAAACAGCTAAAAACATCATAGTGTGGTGAAAATATATTTTCCTTACTAAGGCGTTTGGCTCTTTTCGGCCCAAGCTCAAGTTTTGTAAACTGGCTAGGATTGAAAAGACGCTTTTAGCCCATGTGATTAATCATGTCTTTTGTCTAATTGCAACATAATAAACTAAGTCTGAAAACAAAAATTCATCAACAATTACCTCTCAAAATGATTTCCTTGTTTTCAAAACTTTGCTAAAGCCCAGCTGTTTAGATATTTGTGATTATTTAGTTCGGTATATTACGATGATGTTAGTGTACATTACTATTGATACGTCGAATAATTGATAAGAATGCAAGAAAAAGGATAAGCCATAGCCAATCAAAATAATCGGACCAATAATTCAACATTTTTGCCCAAGCTGGACTCTGAATATTCTCCCGTCCTAATAACCTTCTTCACGCAACCTTAATTCAACTGTCCACCTCAACGATTAATTAATGGAAAAATCTACTGGGAAATGTTTAGTATGGAATTGGATAAATGTGTCGGAAAATATGCCAAAATTATCGTCTTGCAGAAATTGCAAACTCTGTTAAAATATTTGTTAGTAAATTATTAAAATGGTTGTCAAAAAGCTATCTTGAAACCCTCACCTCCCACTCCACAACGACTACTAACATCCCCCAATGACACATTAGAAGATTATGGCAGCGGTTTATGTTGAGATTATAAGATTTTATAAAATTTAAATAAGTTAAGATTTAAAAAAATATATTTCTAACTCAGTACTGTCTCACCACTATAAATTTGGAGCTTAGCTTTTTGCAAATTACGTTTAAATAGTGGGGAAATTGACCAAAGTGGAAAGAGATATCTACAAAACACTATTAGGTATTTCTTGAAAATATTCAGTAGAGACTGCCAAAAGTTGCCACCAAACAAAATATGTGAAACACCCCGTTTCAATGTATTTCTTAAGGAAACATATTTCTTTTAATTTTCGCCATTTATCCTAACAAAAACAAACTTTCATAGTAAATCTACAGCTTTCCAATGACCCTTTATTGATAAAATCGGTTAAGGAGAACTGTAAATTTGGTTGGCAATGATTTTAACGGAATATTATAGCCCAAAGATTGCGATTACGATCAATTACACCGAAAATTTGCAGACTAAGCAAATTCCCATATCTCATAGGGTTTCAATATATTAAATGAATTTATGAGTGTAATTTTTCCAGATTGGCAAGATATTGGACCATGATGAAGATTGATTTTCTTGGATGCGATGTGTTGATTTATGATCATTTTATACAATAGTTTCATAAGTCTTTTTTATGTATTAACAACAGTAGTGTATGTGTTTCGTGTATCACCGCTAGATGCCACTACTGTCATCGTCAAGGGACACAACAGCTCACCTAGCGGAGCCAGGTGTCACTAACGGTACGAAACAGTTCGCTCAGTCTCCGCCAGGTATCACTGAATACTTAATCCACTGTTGTTTATATGTTTCTATTAATTTAATACTGTATGCACATCATTAGCGATATTGGCTGAAGCTAGAAAGATAACATAACAAAATACATTGAAAATTATGCACTATTTTTCAAATTAACCCCGCGGTATTAAACAAATTAGACTTTGTATCTGTTGACACTCGCAGTGATTTTTGCGTGGCAAATATAAGACTACCTCAATTAGGAGAAGTTTCGATTTAAGTAGTTGTTTTGCCTGATCCAAAATTATTCTTTGAGAAGCCGAGAATCGTGTCTTTTACTTGGAGACCGATGATTGGCTTATAACATAATCAATAATAATGTATAAATCTAAAGCTGGTGTCTGTCTGTCTGTATGTGTAATTACTTGTCAAAGCAAGGTGCACAAACTACTGATTAGCCAACTGGGCTTAGCTTAAATTTTACAAAAATAAAGCTACCATACCAAGGACTATTTACACTTCGATAGGCCTACTAACCGTGGGAGACCTTGCCGTCAGACCACCACCGCGCCGTGCAGAACGCATCATACCGTGCATAGCCGAACTGTTCGTGGGAAATTGTTAGCTCTATCACTGTAGCTGTCAAAACGTGTCGTTTGTAGGTTAAATTTAAATTAATTTAACTGTAATAACCTAACCAAACTTTCTGATAATGAACATTTCGAATGAAGGTTTACAAATAATTTATAAATAAAAACCTTTTTAAAAACAAAACGTTTTGAAACGCACTAAAAAGTAGAAAATAATTTATAAATATGTTGAGAGTATAAATACTTGTAAGATTTAAAACGAAAAACGTGGGGTACATGCAATTGATAATTTACAATTACCTTCACCTATTGAACTAATGTATTATTATCAATTAATTGCATGCACCCAACGTTTTTCGTTTTAAATCTTACAAGTATTTATACTCTCAACATATTTATAAATTATTTTCTACTTTTTAGTGCGTTTCAAAACATTTTGTTTTTAAACAGGTTTTTATTTATAAATTATTTTCAACTTTTTAGTCTTTAATGTGTAAATATGTTAAATATATTTTATATGGTCTGTTAATATATAACCAAAACCTGATTATTATCTCTAATCAGATGTTTTATCTTGACTTTAAAATGCTTGTTTTATATTTTTAGAACATACCCGGAGCAGAGGAAATAACCAAATTTAGTGCAAAATATTTAAAGAAACTTGAAAATCACCCTAATCACCTGGCTCTAAACCTCTTGGACAACAGTACCAGTATATACAGGCTAATAGTATATTACGTTACTAGTCCTGAAAATAAGTGTTTACCGGACGAGTGTGGACGTTCCCGTGCGAGACGAAGTCGAGTACGGGATTACCATACGAGTCCGGTACACACATTTTGGACGAGTTACGTACGATAGTTTACGCCACACTACTTAATTCGTACAAATCCTTATATATTTCCACCAACTAAAGGACTAAACATCACTAGTCATAACCTCTAAGAGAGGTTATGTTTTTGTTTATAACTAAATCATTGCCACGCAAATACAGTATAATCAGCTGATTGGTGTCCGGCAAAACTCATTGCAGAACAGTATTACGCAATGAAACCCCATTTGAATAAGCTGGCGGCAAACAGCTGTTTTCTGGACTAAATCCTTGCGTGGGAAGTTCGTCAAAATAATGTAGTATGGCGTAAAAGGGATTTATGTTTTGGATCTAAGCACACATTTTGTTTGAACAATTTAATTTTCCCTTGTTTATTTACATATTTATTTGTTCATTGAAATATTTTTAAGTTAGCTCTGTCAATGGATAGAGATTAACTAACGTTTTATTAAAAGTTGTTATTGTATTTGCTAAATGTTCTAAAAATAAACAGATTGTAAATAAAATTGTGAAAAAAAAAATCCGGAGCAGAACTTGTACCTTTTAACCTCTGCTCTTCGAACTGTCAAATTTAAGTATTAACAGCTGACTTAAATAATTAATTGATATGTTTACATTCTTTCAAAATGTAAACATGGAAAATGTGGAAGCCCATGGGGCCTATCCCAAGGGAAATATATGAAAATTAAATGATATAATATTTTTATTTTATTTATTCATTCAACGGTAACACCATTTTTACATTAGAATATACATTAAATAGGATTAAATCACTTTATAACATAGCATAATTAGGTAATAAATATGAGCAAAAATAGAATAAATTAAAAAGCAGACATGACATGCAAAATACATAACCAGTATAAAAGAAAACAAAAATACATTCATAGGCTGAAACATTTGAAGTGTAAGGCATACAAAGACATAGCAAATTTGGTACAGGCTACTAAAATACGTGCAATTAATAAGAATGAAAAAGAGAAGCAGGCATAAGATGCAAAAGACATAATAATATGGCGCAAAAGATAAACAACAACAGGTAAAATATGAAGTGCAAAAACATAACAACAATATTTAACAATATGCAACCGAGGCATAACAACAACGAGAAAAAAGGAAACAACAAGTGCAATACCGGTAGACTAACAAAAGAAAAAGTAAGATACAACAACAACAACAACAACAAAAATAAATAAATATATATACAAAACAACAGCCATAAATTAATTTAACAAACGCAAACACAACAGGAAACTTAATTAATAGACAAACAGGAAGCTCCAACTGGACACAAAATGTGGCCCTTTAAAGGCACCACCAAAGAAATAACTGAAACTTTACTGAAGCCCTTAGGCAGCCACTAGGTTAAAAAGGCACTGGCACATCTTTTAAAAACAGGAGCTGAAGTGCTGAAGAAGTCCACATGAGCAGCCGCCACAGCGCCCTCACGCAGTAACCGAGACAAGCCGCTGTTGTACGCATATGATGTGGGATGGAATCTGCGCTGGAAAATTGCTCTGGAGCGAGTACCTCTCGGAACAATAAGGTCAATGTTGAAGAGCAGATCGGGGCTGTCCAGAAGACCATTAACCAGCTTGTACAGTACCACAAGATCAGCCAGTCTACGTCGTATGTGAAGAGGTTGGATACCAAAGATCCTCTGAAGTTCTTCAATTGGTACATCGGTATAAGCATAACCAATCCGGATACCCAACATCCGAATGAAGCGAGCTTGGATTCGAGACAGCAGATCAATGTGACCCAGCTGATGAGGCGACCATATCACAGAGCCATACTCCAGTATAGGACGGACCAAGGTCTTGTACAGCAACACAAGTGACCGAGGATCTTGGAAGTTCCTATAGTAGACCTGAAGACAAACCCCAGAAGTGCATGCGCCCTTGATGTGATGTGGACAATGTGGTCAAAGGGGCTGAGTGAAGGTGTTAAGAATATTCCAAGGTCCTTCACTTTATCCATAGATGGAAGAGTGCTCCCATTGATGTAGTATTCCGACTTGAGAATGTTCAGTCCTCTCTTGAAAGTCATGACCTGGCACTTAAGTCCATGGAGTTGTTTTTGCACCACCCAACGACATTACCTATGGATCTCTGAAGGTTTTCTTGATCAGACACGGAGTGGATTTCCGAGAAAATCTTTATGTCGTCAGCAAACATGAGGTAGTTGGTGGTCAAGACCGTTCCAATATCGTTGATGAACAGATCAAAAAGTAGGGGTCCGATGTGAGAACAACATGTTATGGACACCAGAGATTACAGGGAATGGTTTAGAAGTAGCTCCTTCACACTTAACGATGAGATATCTCTCCTTCAAATAGCTCTCCACCCACCTGAGCAACGAACCACCAACACCATAGGCAGCCAGTTTTGCTACCAGAAGGCGATGTTGAACTCTGTAACTCTGTATTGCATTGTCATCCATTTGTGAGCTATGTTTTCCTTGGCAGACATTTAAGGATGATGAGAATATATCATTGGGATTGTATTTAATGTTATGATACACTATTTTTTTAACCTGTGGTTATACCCAACAGATAGTATGAACATTGCAGCCTTAGTTACATAAATAACCTACTTCATTCCCAAGCCTTTGATGTCCAACAAGCTGTTCAGTTCATGACCGTAGTGGTAGTACTACGCCATTAGCAGAAGAATTATTTCCCGTCAAATTACGGCAGAGCTTGATGATTTGTCGAAATTCAGTGTTTACAAGTGAAGCCAATTTTAATGTTTCCAGTCATTCTATTTTGTTTTTAGAGTAGCCATCAAGTTAGATATCCTGAAAAAGGTGAGTACAAGTAAAACGTTTTTATTGGTATAGCTTTCTGTTTGACGCTTTCGTCCTTGTCAACTCACTTCCCAATAAAATAGATCCACATCCAGGAAGTAGTTTGTTCATTGAAAAGTTCCGAACCAAGCAGTGTCTGATCAGTTCCAGTTGTAAATATTGTGCATTCTTTTCTTGTTGTCATAAACTTTTGTTTCAACGTTTTTTGCTCAAAGTGACTCTTGTTCCGCTTGTCGATTTTTAATTTATACAATTGGTCGATCTGAATAAAATTTATTTTATGGACTATGAAGTGACATAATTATTCGCTCGAAGCTGTTGGGTTGGAAGAGGAGTAGGCTAGCTAAATTTACATTTTCAAGTATATTTTGTTCCTACCATTTGCCATGTATTAGTGTTGTAACTCTAGCTGATATGATTCTAACCTAGAATATACAACTGTTAAAACCTAAGACTAAATTTACATTGAAGTAACTTACTTTTTTACAATTGAAATTTAGTAGCCCTAACCTAAATTGGTGCTAGCCTAGGTCTAGTACTCCCAGGATCTGTCCTTGAAATAAAACCATCTCATTATGAGGTATGCTCAGCTTGTAATGGGGCCTGCTGGCAGTGGAAAATCAACTTATTGTTCTGCAATTGCTAAACACGCTGAAGCTGAGAATAAAGTGATTCAAGTGGTGAATTTAGATCCAGCAGCTGAGTATTTTGATTACGAACCATTTGTAGATGTGCGAGAACTAATTCAGGTAGATGATGCTATGGAAGATGAAGACATGCAGTTTGGACCAAACGGAGGATTGGTTTTTTGTATGGAGTATTTGTTAGAAAATGTAGATTGGTTAAGAGATCAGTTAGGAGATGGTGATGATGACTACACAATTTTCGACTGTCCAGGACAGATAGAACTGTATACTCACATGAATACAATTAAACACCTGGTTGAGCTATTACAGCAATGGAATTTCAATGTTTGTGGAGTGTTTTTGGTTGATGCTCAGTTCATGGTTGACGGACCCAAATTTCTATCAGGAACCATGGCAGCTCTATCAGTCATGGTGAATTTAGAATTACCTCATGTCAATGTGTTGAGTAAAATGGATCTTCTTACCAAATCTGCTCGTAATCGTCTTGACAGTTACCTTGATCCAGATCCCAATGCCTTGTTGCAAGACAACGAAAAAACATCAACGTGGAATTCAAAATACCGAAAGTTAACAGAAGCACTTGGACAGATAATAGAAGACTTTAGTTTGGTACGTTTCCATCCTTTGAATATTAAGGACGAAGAAAATTTGGCGGACTTGCTGTTGACAATTAACAATGTTATCCAGTATGGTGAGGACGCTGATGTTAAAACTAAAGACTTTGAGTATCCTGATCCGGAAGAAGAAAACGTGGAAGATGGCGACTAAAATGACTTTAAACTTCTAATTAGCCTAACCTAAACAAAAAACTTCCATAATTTACCATCAACATTGTTGGATACCATCCTATGCCTAGGCTACCCTATGTCATTATCAGGTAATTTTAATAAAACACACATCTTTACAATTTCTAACTTAGTTTGAATTTTATATTCCTGTTCTTTATAAAAGTTTAAAGTAATGGGTGTGAGTAAATAACTTAAAAGGGATTAATTATGAAAATGTGACAACTTTTAATAATAATTTTAAAGGATTAAGTTAAGCCACTCTAAATTAGGGTGTTTTATTTTTAATCCATTTTTGATCCATTTTAACTTGAGCCTTTTTTAATCCCATGTCTATACATTTGAGTCTTAATGATAACTTTCATAATGACAAATTAGGCCTAGAGACTTTTGTGAAAGAACATTATTAGGAAAACCTTTTTTTTCTCCTAAGAGGATAGGCACGAGCCTGGGATTCTTTTACACATTACTTCAGGCTAGACCTACGGGTTGCGGCATTATCACTTGGATAAAATCCATTGGTGACATATCATAAATTATTAAAAATATTAAGTAGCCTACGGTAAACTACCTATTGCAAGTTTTTATCTTTCTAATAATCTTGATGAGATAAGCTACTGGTACATAACTTAATCGGGTACTTTCCTGTTAAAGGGAACATTCATTATTATCGATGATTTTTTCGATATCGATACCTATTTTTGTTTTCCGATCCATTACAAATTGACAACTGATCTTGTTTAGGCTAAAATAGTCTATTATATGGATTAAGATATGAAACTGTTCTGAGCTAACCTAACATAACCAATCAAACTTACTGTAGGCCTACCATTTAAAAATTCCGTTTGATAACAGAAAAGGCAAGTTAAACACGTAATTTATAAATGTTACAGCAAGTTTGGTTAGTTATGTTAGGTTATTTTTTTAGATCAGTTTCATTTCATTTGTTTGTTGTACTATACATACATACATACATACAGGTTCCTCTTCTCCGTAGGCTTGAAGACCAGGGAATTGTCAAATCTTGAGGTACACTCAACTTGAACAATATTTTACCTACGACCGTTTTTTAAAGTAGCCATTTCAGTTCAGTTCTAAACTTAGAATTGAAAAGTTTCACTTAACAGCTGTTTACTTTCATATCAGCATAGTTTCATTTCATATCAGCATAGTTTTTCTCATATCAACACGGGTAACGGACCAATGAGGTTCAAGGATTGAGAGAAAAGAACGGAAGTACAATTATAATACTTTGAACGTCAACTAATCAGCTGATCAGTTGACAATTTTAATTGTTGATCCGGCTTGTTCCTGTTGATACTCACGTATTCTTAACCTAAGTTGGTGGAAGTTAAATGAAGGTTGATTTTAAAATATCAGTTAGTGAAAGTGATGTTGACGAGATAGAAATGAGAGCACAAACTGTTTGTGCTAATCTTTTGCCACCAAAATCAAAACAAAGGTACCATATGAAATTACATACCAGCAATTCATTAAATGGACGAAACAAAATAAGGTTAAATTGATAAATGAAAATGTTCTTCTGGTTTATTTTGAAAACCTCTTAAACACTTTTTCACCCGACTCGTTGTGGACCACATATTCGATGCTGAGATCTAACTGTAAATTAACTGTTTCACTATATTATTCAGTTGTCCAAAAATATATGCAATATTTCCCTAATTGTACCTGATACAGTATTTATGGTAAGAATGCTGCTAGCAGAACCTATTGCCTGAAAAAGTAACGTATTATTTAACAAAGTTTTACAAACACGTAATTACATGAAATCAGCTGACTAATAAGTCGTTGCATCACTGTCAGTGACAATGACAATAAACGAAAACATAACCTCTCTAGGAAGTTATGAGTAGTGATTGTTAGTAATAAAAAACCAGATTTTTAGTAATTAAAAAACGGTTAGGTAAAGTAGTGTACGCAACTCGCGTTAATAGTCTTTACGACACTCGTAGAAGTTTTTAAGGCACTCACCAAGGCTTGTGCCTTAAATTTTCTACTCGTGTCGTAAAGACTAACTTAACGCAATCGTTGCGTAAACTACTATATCGTAGTTGTCAGCTGATATGTTTCAATTTGTTAGTATCGATACATCGAGAAAAAACCATCGATAATAATGAATGTTCCCTTTAACAAGAAAGTACCGTGATAGACAATTTTATAGGCCTAACTTACTGGTACTCAATTGATACATTTTGTCAACTTTAAACCATTAAAGTTTTAAACCATCATGATCCCTTAGCTGCTCCCAAATCCGTCAAAAGGCAAGTTGGGTGGACATGTTAGGTTAAGATGATCTAGGTACCGGTATGCCTAGTTATATATTATGTATTTTTTTTTAATAGGACTAAGAAATATACAGTGTAAAATCTTTTGAAATTATAATAAGAAATGAAATTATAATAAACATTGACGAGTGCAATGCAGGTTTTTCATGTTAAAAGCAAATAAAGACATTTAATTTCATTTCAATCTATACTTATTTAATACGCAAGCAGGTTTTTTGTGACAATTACTCCTCCGAAAATACTGAACCGATTGACATGTTTTTGGTGTCATTGGAAAGAGCGTAACGTGAAGTTATGCAGGAAACTTTCTTTTTAGGGAAATAATTAGAGAGTGAGGCCCTGGAGTCCTTTAAAGTTTCGTATTTCTCCATAAGATTAACATGGGATTATTAAATATTGTTATGAAACTCCAGCTGATGTCAGAAATTAAAAGTGAGAAGAAGAGCATATGTCAATATTGTAAACAGTCAATAAGTCTGCTAATTTAACAGTTTGCTACTAACATTTACTTACTTGGTTGAAATGAAATATTTAATATTGTATTTGAATTTAGGTTGGCGTAATTATTACAATATAAAAAAGCAAAAGAGCCTGGATAAATTGATATACTAAAAAGAAAACTGAATTAACACTGACTGTGCTGCATTTCTTAGTAATCATTGAAAGAGCCGATTTGCAAACTATGGAAACATAGGAAAGTCATAGAAACCCACCAACGAGAGGAAATAGAAAACATGTTTTTTTAAATATTTATAATCGTTATTATGGACAACCTAATGCGGCTATGAGTTAGGCTATTTGTAGAAAACACTAAAAATGAGTTCGCGAACCAGCATAATCGGAACATGGAAACGGGGTTTTACGGGGGTTTTATGGGGTAAAAATGAATTCCTTTAGAATGCATTTCAAACCGTAGAAACCTATACCAAGCCATGGCTCAGTCCCCCGGTACTAGTAAAGATAAAATAACCATTCTAACCTAATCTGCCTCAGCTTTTATTTAATGGTTTCAGGAAAAGCTATGACTTGAGTTAGGCCTAAAAACTTACTCCACCTCAAAAACTCTAGTATTTTAAGTATTCTCGGTGTTTTTAATTAATGTTTGGTAGTACATTTTGTTTAGCCTACAGACTTTCTCAGCTGCTTTTCTCATTTCATTGTTGATGTTAGCCTCCGGATTACGTTGAATATAAAAATTGGTGTAAATACCTGCTTCTTGTAATCCAAATTGTTGCTGTTGGCTGTTGTCCAAACAGCAACAATTTGGATTACAAGAAGCAGGTATTTACACCAATTTTTATGCTTTTCTCAAGCTCAAGCCTACACAGTTTACTTTTAAATGCTTGTTTAGCTTTGGTAAATTGTCTTTAAGGACATTCACATTTTTTTATAAAAAAAATGTTATTTCCCTAAACCTCTTGATTGCATACTTGTTAAAAAAAGTTGTGTGGGTGATGTCAAGGTTATTTATCAGTGCAATTATTTCTTTAATTTCATTAATTAAATACCATTAATAAGTTTTTATTCACTATCTGTATTGTTGGCATCACGTTACTTTGTCAACTGTCGTTACTTATCCGTGAGTTCACATGATGGATGAATGGCTCATCACCTTGGTCTGTATCTTATCATCATCAAAAACGATAACAAAGTATTACCTAGCGTAAATCAGTACCTGTACACATCTATTGGTATGTTGGTGAGTACAATAGGATCATCTTGAGTGTAGCCCATCTTACCATTGTGATACATTACATTGAATAGTTTAATGCAGTTTGTTTAATACAGTTCTAATGTGCAATTCAATTTCTTCACTTTTTATTGCCTCTAAGTTGTTTTTTATTTTAACTTCTATGATGATTTAATTGATTTGTGCATGTGTCTCTTAGTTCAATAACTTGATTATAAATTTTCTGATTTTAATAAAATTTACTACAAATGTGTTTAAACCTACATTTAACGGGTTCACAAACTAGCGTGATCATTGATCAAACTACAGTTGAATGTTTTATGAGGTAACAATTGTGGTTTTAATTTTTGTCCCTAAAAATATAACGTCAGGCCAGTTTGTAAAATATCACAATTTCCCACACCTCTACACACACTTTGAAAAAATAATTTTAAGCATTGTTGTACCGGTACACTTAGTGGTTAAGGAAAAAAATTGTTTATGAATACATTTTGGTCGAATTTGGTAAATCTCTATATTCCAAAACCTATTTAACATTTGACTAAAATCACATTCTATTACTTTCCCTTATGAAAAAAAGGAAATCTATGCAGCAAACCTTGGAACCCGTCAAACCTAATGTTATTTAAATAGGAAATGAATTGGACATGTTTAATCAAATATTTCAGTTAAAATCTAATCGGACAGCTGGAAATTCGCTCAGGCTGCAGGTTAGCCGCAGCGGTTGAGGTATATAGGACTCTTTTGTTATTTTATAACAGAATTTGTATCTTAGGCCTAGGTTATATATTTTTAAAATTTGGTTTTTCTTTTCCGAGTTTGTTTGGGTCTTCTACACAAATTAAAAGTAGGGCCTATGACCCACAGATTTCACATCAAATAGGCCTATCGACTTTAAATACTATTTAAGTTACAGTCCCACTCAGTTTAAAAAATATATATTTTTTACACAGGTTTTCTATAATTATTAAAATTAATAGCCTCAGTATTGTTTATGTTTTGGACTTAAAATAATCAGTAGGTTTTAATTTGAGCTGTCAATCGTTTGAAATAGTTTACTTCAAGAAACTATATTACCTACTTAATAAAAAATCATAAATCTTTAATTATTTCTCGGGTATGATATTTATTTC